ATGACATCATCGCGAACACGAAACGAGGCGAACGGCTAGAATAAGATGGAATAAAAATATCAGCGCCATATTGAATGTTCACGAAATTTCTCCCTTTCGATGGCTTGATATCGCTGTGATATCACACACACACACGCCGCTATGAATCTGAGTCGCCATTCACTTTTCAAACAGTGTGGCCACTTCCAATTTAACGCATTCATGCAATCATTTCCGAATCAATTTTTCGAAGTTTATGAAGTCAACATATTTTCTTGGAATGAATTAAATTCTAAACTATGTACATTTAAAACGATTTTTTTATGTCGGCAAGAAATTTTTTCTTTTTTCAGAATTCTTTCCGTCAAAACATACCACTTTTCTCCGCTTGATTTCCATTCAATTTGTTCGAAAAATTACACACTTTTTTCAAAAAAGTTTTTTGTAATCAAGAAAATCGAATGAAAATGAGAAAGATCTGGATTTTTTTTAAATATTCTTGGTTTCTCACTGACACTCGATCAATCGTTTTATTCACCAAATTCTCACTAGAACCAAAATGTCGGCAATTTTGTATGGACTTATTCATATTTTTATTAGAACTCTTTGTAAACCTTTTCGATCGTCTTGCACACACAGTGTATGATTCAAAGGAGACGATGAAGCTTCATGTATATTCGCAATTCTTGTGTGTCTGTATGTTTTGTTCTACCTCACGCTATGAATGAACGGCAAAAGAAGGAGATATCAATACAAGCATAAGCCACGATTTATCGTCTATGTATGCTTTGCCGAACGTAGATCGAATTTTTTAATGAATAAAATTAGCGATTGCCGCCATGTTGATGTTGTGGAAATTTCCATGCGAAATAATGTGAAATGGCATTATGAAGGCGACTTCTTTGCTTTTTTGTGTTAGTGGAGACAGGCATAAGGCGAATCGACGCTATTCGAATTCTTCACACATGAGATACAGACGTAAGGTTGTATTTGTATGCGGTTGTAATCGCTGAAGCGACAACTAGCGAATCAAATTATTCCCATATTAAAATTGCCTTCTTTCATGTGTAAGAAACGTATGAAATTTGTTCACGAATTTTTGTATTTTATTTTATTTTTTATCGTGGATTTAATGCCCACCTAATAAATTGACCAAAGGCCTAATGTATTTTTACAAATATTTCATTCGAAAAATGAAATTTCGAACTATGGCAACACATGACACTTGGATCGTTTTGCTCCACTGTATTCGTGTGAAAGGACGTTGAATATCGAAAAAGCTACAGAAGTAAGGTTGTGTGTAACCAAAAAAATGTTCCTATGAAAGTATTGGTGGGCGGCTGAATTTGAATATTCGCCGTGAAGCATGTACAAGTACATTGTGGAATGTGCAACCACAAGAACAGCGCATAAGCATGAGACTTTAATTGTGTGTGAAATACACAGCAACGAGGCAAAATCAAACTCAACCAACACTCGACGATACTAAAATTTACTCGATGCCAAATAAGACAAAATCGAAAAATTTGCGCTAAGAAACTAACTCTACTGTCTACTCCCTAGTCTCACAAACTCAAATATTGTTGCTATTTCATCTGTCTAATCAATCAATTCTTTCTAAATACTTATGTAACGCACATGTGCGTAATGTATTATTATACATCAGAATGTTTTCTTCAGGAATGTTTTGTGGCCTCATTTGTTTCTGTAATACACGCAATCACTAACTCAATTTCAATTTAATTCAACAATAATAGATTTTTTGTGGTATGATAAAAACGACATTATCGTTTCATCGGCTAACTTTGAAAGGTTTTGATAGCGAAAATTGCCCAAGCCACCAAAATTTGCGTTCTGTCAAAATTCAAACGAAAAATCAAAGAATTTCAAACCAAATTGAATGATCAACTGTGCATGATGAGAAGTTTTTTGCTAGGAAATCCAAATAAGAAATATTAAAAACTACGCTGCAGTAAATTTCTGATGGAGCCAATGCGAATAGTAACATGAGACATGATATTCCAAATTTGAAAAATGTTTGATAGTCATGATAATTTAAATGTCAATCACAGTTCACTCCGTCATTCTTGTCATATCAAAAGACGAGACAAGACAATCGTGTCGGTTGTGATTAGATTAGAACCTCTTTACAATGAAATGCGTGGGGTTTGAAGCGCGGCACACATTCGAAAGTCAGCAGTCATATCATGAACATGGAATTCCCATGGCTTTATTTCGTTTGTGTTTTGTTGCTTGGCAACTATCATGTCAATTTGTTACCGGCACATTCAGAAGATGTAAATTTTTGTCTAATAATTTCATTCAAACCATTTAGCATAGAATTACATCCTTCTCAATGCATTGTTCAACTCAATCTTTCATTGTACGTCGACATTGTTCAACAGCAATCAATTTAATTCCAATGTTTCAATTTATTCAAAAGGTAAACCTGACTATTCCAACCTCGGTGCAAATTATCAATGGACAGATCTGGTGGAGCTTGATCAAAGTGATTTTCCGATCAAAGCGGCACAAATAAATGAGTTTTTACACGCTTTGGCCATTCAGGTGTTCAAGCATCAATACTCGCACAAGGAAATTGTCTTTTCTGATGATTTCACTTCGTCAAAAGTAGCCCGAATGCCAAAAATAGAGAAAACCTATAAGATTTCTAGGGATCGTGTGGAAATCTATGAATTTGATATGCTAATGAATACAATGAAACTCTTCGGGCAAGATATACGGTGGATATTCTTATACGATTCAGCCATCAGTTCAGATCATAACGAGAAAATTGTCGCGGCAATCAATGAATATTGCATAGAATCTCTAACAACATTAAGTCTTGATTCAATGCACAAAACGATAGAGTTAATGCTTAAGCCATTCAAAAATGTGGAGAATAGTTTTACGAATGGATCTGGATCATATTGGCAATGTAAAAGTTTCGATGGATCAATTGTTTCCTGCTTTATGTCGCCTGTCATTAAACATTAGGAATTCGAGTCCCTACTTTGACTGTCATTTGTCTCGTCTAGAACACCTGCACATCGAAGGATCTTCACACAATGACTTAAGCGACGGAGGAAACAGTATTAAAAAACTTATACGGAAAAATCCAAGGATTCGCAGCATTTTCATGCAACAAGTTTCCTCGCGCTTCATCCAGTGTCTTGCAAGAATTATTGCCAAGCCTTGAAAGTTTACATTTTAATGGTGTTGATGTGCGCGACACAACAATTCACTTTGTAAATGTAACGAAATTCGGGATCACCGGTCAATTCCAACCGAATAAAATTCAATTGACAAGTTTGCGAGAACTGTTCATGGCCGTGTCCAATGAGAATGTGGATGATCGGATCAATTTCCTGAAGAGACACGCATATTTGAACCATTAGGAGGTGTTTTATGCCGATTTAAGCGATGATCAATTCCAACGGCTCATAACGGAAATGAGAAATGTGAATGATCTCAGTTTTCAGAAATATGTGATGGGAAATCAGTGATACATTGGTACTGGGACAATTGTTGAGTCGGTACGAAAATTGGATAATTTGATGAAATTTAAACTAAACATTTGTACAAAAACTGATGTACAAATTTTCTATGAGCAACTCCAAAATGATTGAAAAATCACCAAATATCGTAAATGTCTTTCATTTAAGCGAAAAAATTGAGTCGCTTCCATAGATTCTGACATAGATCTTGTTGATCTTGACCCCTGCTGGCAAAACTTGACCCCCAACGAATTTTTGCGGACCCATTGTCATTTTGCGAACTTTGTTTTCAAAAAGTGAGGACCTTTTTTAGCTCTTCACTTTTTTCCGAAACCGATTTTACACTAGATGAATTGACCCCCAAAGGAATTTTTGGTTTGACCCTACCTGAAATTTTTGGTGTCAGAATCTATGGTCGCTTCCAGAGATTTTGTATGTAAGCTGCCTTAAAATCTATTAACTATTGCTAAGTGTCAAGAAGAGATTATTTTTCATTGCTCTTATGAAATGAAACAGATTCACTCGGACAATCTAAATTTTGCGTTCCTTTTTGCCTCTTTTATCAACCTCTCTCCCGGTTATTTTCATCCGATGATTGATAATTTCCCAACATTTCACTCTATCGAATAAAGCAAATGTTTTTTTAAAAGTCGAGATCTGGCATCAATTGATTGATCTTCAAAATACCGCAGCACTTTGGTTTAGACAGTTGAAACACTGCATCGCTGTAGGACGTAGAATCTACAGTGTAGATTGTAGAATGGAAAAGTTTACTTTATTCAAGTGCAAAACTTTAATTTCAAGTATTTTTTTTAATGTGATTGCAAAACACTGATTTGATGTTGATGTAATTGATGGACTTGTCTTGATTATGAAGGCACGAAAAAACCATCGAAAGAACGTTGTATTTGGCCAGAACAAAAGGTTCTATTTAACCAAAAACAACTGTAATAGATTTGTCTATTCATAGAACACAGTTATGTGCACTCGTCGTGTGCCACACGATGAAAACAAAACGAATATGATTTTCATGAACATTCATTAATTATCTTACCGATGTATTTTTGTGCTAATAGCAACATTCATTGTTTGGATCGCTTGATTGCCGAAATTAAGGCGTTATTTGAAGGAAAATAAAAAAAAGAACATTATTTGACCCTGTCTTTATTGTTAACGCAGTTATGGCTAAATGCATGAATCTGCGTTCTTTGCAAAACATAAATTCTTATTGACGTTTTGCTTGGCTGGGCTTTGGAGAACGAAAATTGAAGCAGTCATTCTGTGTTTACGGTCTATTGCGTTGATAAATACTGATTATACGAATGCCAAACAAATTTGGTTCCACACAATCGATATAATCGACGAAGTTGTTATTTACATCTTTTTATTGAAAAGTCATCAACTACTCTCAAGCCGTAGACAGCCATTACAGACAGCCATTACTAAACACAAGTCCTTCCTAGAGTCGACTAAAGTTATTCAGTTGCGAATCGACTTGCCAAGAGATAACAAGTGATTATAAAAAATTGATAAAAGTTGTCTAGATTAAATAAAATGATCGGTGATATTTTGTGCACAATTCCATTCTTCATTCTGTTTGTTACAATAATCATCGAGTGTTGGAAAGTGTATCTAAACTTCACTAAGCTTAAAGCGTTTCATCATATCGAAGGCTGGCCGATAATAGGCAATGGATTGCATTTAATTGGAAAAAATAATGAGCAAATTTTCGAAACGTTCGTCACCGAAACCGAAGAAATTTCATATACTTGGGTTGGTCCAATACGTCTCTTTCATGTGGCTCGGCCGGAAGATGTCCAGGCGATTTTAACTTCGGAAAAATGTTTGAAAAAAGCAATTCCGTATGGATTTTTGTACAATCGCACGGGTTTATTAACAGCAGAGCCGAGTACATGGAAGGTGCATCGTCGAGCATTGAATCCAACACTCGGTCCGAAAATGGTGAATAGTTTTGTACCGATTTTCAACGAAAAATTCCAGAAAATGGTCAATTTAATGGAAAGACAGATTGGTAACAATGTTGATATGCATCAGATTATATTCAGGGCGTCAGTTGACACAATAACGTCTGCATCATTTGGTGTTAATTGGACCATGCAGAATAGACGAGGTGATGAGCTTCATCGTTGGCTGATTGATCTTAATGACAATATTCAGAAGCGCATTCAACGAGTATGGCTTTGGAATCCAATCTATTATTTAACACAAGACTACAAAATAGAAATGTCGAACTTTCAAGCGGTATACCGATTCACCCGAACTGCATTGGAAAATAAGAGAATGAATTTAGCCGAAAAGCTGGAGCACGGTGAAGACGAACTCGCTATTACCAAGGAGAACAACAATCAAAACTATTTACAAAAGTGTTTGCAATTGGAACTGGAGCAAAAGTTCACAGATCAAAATATTTGCGATGAAATGGAAACAATTTTGATTGCGAGTGTAGATACTTCAGCTACGGTCTTTTATGGCATAACATTGATGTTAGCCATTCATCAAGAGTATCAAGAGCGTGTTGTCGACGAAATGCGTGAGATATTCATTGACGTGAATGAACCAGTGACCAATGATCACCTATCTCGAATGACTTTCCTGGACCTTGTTATAAAAGAGACGATGAGGTACTTTCCGATTGGACCATTTTTAGGACGTGAATGTACAGCTGATTTCGAGATCAACGGCGGTGTCATTCCAAAAGGCTCACAAATTTTCATAAATGTTCTTCGAATGCATAGAAACCCCAAGTTCTTTGGCGAAAATGCACTTGAATTTTATCCAGAACGATTTTTACCGGAAAATTGCGCCGATTGGCACCCATATTTGTTCATACCATTTAGCGCTGGTGCACGGAATTGTATCGGCGTTCGTTATGCATGGACATCAATGAAAATCGCACTCTCGCATATTCTCAGACGTTTCAAACTCACCACGCACTTGAAGCTACATGAAGTGATCATCAAACCCGAGCTTCTTCTTAAAATTGGCAATAAAAATGCCATTCGCATTGAGCGACGAAAATGGTAACCTCCAACAATGACAAGTCCAGAATTATTGAATAAATTAATCAGTGAGACAATGATTAAAAAAAGTAGTACTTGTGGCGGCACCTAGCGAGTCCATACAACTTTCATATAGTTTGTTTATTGAACAAATGGTAGGGGAAAATGTGGAGGGGAAGCAGTCTATTGAATGTATAGGCATACACGTTCCACTCGCCAGGAGGCAGTGTAAACTGTCTTTTCGATGACATTCAATATTAAAATATGCAAACATTGTCACACTGAATTTAATATGATGATTTTAAATAAAAGTATCAAACCAAACAACTGGGTGATTAGATGATAAACACAGGTGTTAATGAATTCAATAAGAATGGAATTAAAGAGAAATAAATAGTCTTACCTTCCGCACCGGTTTCATAGCATTCAGCTTTTATTCAGATTTTGCCTAGGATATTTATAAGAATTTTCAGAAAAAAACAACAGTAAGTTCATGTATTTTATAGAAAATTGGCTTAAGATTTACCTCTCTTTCAAAAATGCAAAATAATCAAGTATTGAAAAAACTGAACTTTAATCAAAGAACTGCAAATCAGTCAAATATTTGGAGAATGAACTTTGTAATCAAATCAAAAAATGTGGACGGAAATAATAAGCTATCTCGACAAAATGTTTAATAAGCAAGTTGAATGAACTGATTTTTTTTGTTTCTTTTTTGATGAAATTAGACAAAAGTTACCAAACCGAAATCAATTGGTCATTATTGCGATGCAACACTTGAAAACAAGTATCCAAAAACTTAGACAAAAACAAAAATGTGTGTATTATTTATTGTGGAAACAGCTGTAGTTCATTTGTTTCGTATATTCTTTTGATGTGGTTTCTTAGTTCGCTGGTCTTTTTAAAATTGTCTGTTTCGTGATGATTGATTTTTAGATGGTATGATGTGGGGCTGTGTCCCAAAATGATGGTTGTGGCTTGTGGCGTATGTAATCGAGAAAATGCCACAGGAACATCCATCTGGTTGCAACGTTGCCGGCTCGATGAATTGATACTGTGCTCCGGGGTACAGGCGAGTGAGGATGTTTGGTTGATATACGTCCAATCTTTTGCCATGATTGCCCTCCCCGTGTAGACTGTATAGTGAACTGTGGTGTAATGGCCAAGAAAGCTGGCCTGGCCGCTGTATATTATTTGCAGATCGTCTCGTTCGGCTAGAAGTCGTTTGTATCGCTCTTGTTTTTGTCCATAGCAGACTGGATTCATATTGAATGGTATGGTTCTGTTTGCGTTCACCAAATTTATAATGAACATATCGATTGACAAATCATTTAAGAATTCTGTTCCAACAATTTGATTTGTGATTGATTCTAGATCTGTATTCTTTATAGTTTCACACAAGTCTTCGATTTCGTAGTAAAATCCATATTGTTGAGAATAAATGAGACTTCAGAGGCGCTATCACATTCGCTATCAGAATCACTATTCGATACCGATTGGATACGAAAAAAGGTGGGTTAGCGGGTGCTAGGTTGTTCCTGGGCCCCTATTATTTTGATAAAATAAATCGGGTGGACATGATAAAACCCACCTGGGTAACCTATTTTGGGTACCTCCCGAACAAAAGTTCGATTTTTTAAAGGTTTTTCACAGGCTAGGTATCCTAGGGTACATCTGGGGTGGCTGGAAATTTAATGGTTTCCAAGTCTAACGAAATACAAACGTTTGGTACTTGCAGAATTTTGTTTCCAATTCTGGTATTTGAGCAATCGTGCTAACAAATTTTTGCGTACAGCGTACAGCGTACAGGGTATGACACACCCACATTAACATAGCAAAAAAACCACTGTATCGTGCTTTTTGGCGTCAAAAATGGATAGAAAAATGGTTTTTCAGGGTACCTAGGTTTTGGAGTGATTACAATACTTTTACTCACGACATGGGCGTGCGAAAAAGTAATTAAATCAAATTTCCAACGATTCTTCCTTTCTTTCGAAATACGTCGTACTTGGTGACAAAATATAAGTGTAAAACCGTAGGTAACTAAATCGGACCAAGTGGGTTTTTGAAAGATAATTACAAAAAAAAATTAAAATAGCCAAAAATATGTGCCAAAATATTCCAATCAGAATGAAACTTTGCACAGCCTAATCATTTCCTAGGTTAAAGATTTCCTGAATTTTTCATCGAATTCGAATAACTTTTTCCTAACAAAACATGGAAAATTCCGAATTTTTTATGTTTTTTTTCTTCTTAATTTTCCATTTTCACTTTATTTTGAAAAGTACGAATCTCTATGAAATCAACAGAAACCAGAGCTGACACAGACACCTACGGGGTGCCGGCACTTACTTGAGTGCGCACCTGATACTATTAAAAAACACCTTTTTCTCAAAATTTTTGGATGTTTTGGAATTTTATTATTTTCATCATCTAAATATCATAGATTTATTTTTAAAAAAATTACATCAAACTCAAAAATACTCAATTTTTTTCTCGGATAGTACTAGGTGCGCATCCAAAGTAGTAAGTGCCGGCACCCCGTAGGTGCCTTTGTCAGCTCTAACAGAAACGTATTGTGGAAGCATGTGTATATTTTCATGAAAGAGTGACGAGAATGTAATTTTTTGAAATTGGCGTAATTTATAAAGCCTCAAATCGAAAGGAATTTGGTGTAACGAGGCATTCCGCATATTTTTAGTCATAGAGTGACTTTTAATGATTTTTATCGGGTAACCATGGTTTCGTTCGTTTCTTTGGTCCTTCAGACAGCGAACAGAGACTTTTGGTACAAGGATGCTCTGCTGGAAGAACAGGATTTCAAATAAATGTAAGACAAACTCCAAACATATCGCCAAAACTGTAACCTTCCAGTCCAACAAAAAAACGGCTATATCTCGATGTGTGTGGTGGGGAGAAATATAGGAAAGCTTTGTTGGTATGGAATGTTCGTTTTTTGGTCTAGATTTGCCTCAGCATAATACTTTAAATGGTTTCAATATTTTGAAAAATCGTGCGAATGTAACCTTCCAGTCTGAATTCTTGCTCATATACCTTATCAACATTTGAAAAACTTTGCACCAGATTAAGGTTTTTTCATATTTTTAATCGACAAACTGTTTCTAGTTTGTAAATAGTAAAAAAATGGAACTCTCAGAACAGGCAAGCGTTGGCTTAAGAATCGCACAGAGTGAACCCTGTGAGTAGCGCAATGCATCACATTAACGGACGACGAACAGTTCACAAGTTTTCAAATACAAATGAGTTTACCAATGTGCGCTCCAATACTCACAGCAGACACGCAGAGTAAAAAACAAGACCGCAGAGCTTTTAGTTACTCATTCTATTTTGTTGTTTCACAACAAACTATTTTTTGGTGCACTACATGAAATGTATTTCATCAAAGTAACTTTGAAGTAATATATTTTTTTGCAACAAAGTACAGAAAAAAAATTATCAGTCATTTCAAAAATGAATTACAGGATCTTGGTTTTATTTCATTTTGAAATACACTACCTTTGGTTTAAATTGAATAAATAATATGAGCATAAAATTCAAATTCACCATAATTTGTTTCAGTACTCAAAAAGTATTAAACGTGACTTAGGTGTAATAATTGATGAGAAATTGACGTTTAAAACACACATTGAAACATTGGTAGCCTCATGTAATTCAACGTTGGGTTTTATAAAACGCACAGCGGGACAAAAATTTGACACTGACACTCTTGTTATACTATACAATTCATTTATTAAAAGTAAAATATTGTTTGGAATTGTCGTATGGTTTCCATCAACAGCAACCGGCAGAGAATTTATCGAAGGTATTCAAAAAAGATTCACCATGATGGCTCTCAGAGAATGGCCGAATGTTCAAAACAATTTTAGTATCCGTCCGTACTCTGAACGTTGTGCTGAACTAAAAATTGATTCTATTGTAGACAGATATGTGTTTGCGTGCCGTATCTTTATATATGACATATTGAAAAAGAACCTAAAATCGAAATTCTTGAATGAGAATTAATAAAAATTCCAACATTCACAAGTTCATATATGCATAATCAGTCCTTTTGGTCAGCAGTCAGGCATTTTAATAATAGCAAGTAAGAATATGAGAACAGCAATGATGAAAGAAACAAATATGTTAATGCAATCAAAACTAGAAGTTAAGAGAAAATTTTATTGTATTGTATTGAAACTGTTGTTGAAAAAATCAGGTTTTTACGGAGACGAATGTACTCTTTTTGCCTGTAGCCAGTATTTGGCGAAATTAATAATAAATAAATAAATAAATTAATAAACTATTGGGTCAATTCGAAAGTTTCCGCCGGTGACATTTAAATGTCGCCACTTGTAACTGAGCGTAGCTTGACAAGTGAATCCAATTGCATTTTGTAGATGTGACATTTAGCATCTAACTCAGAGCAGAAAGATTCATTTTTCGTTCTGCGTCATTGTTTTTGAATCGATTGAAAATAGATCGTGATAAGGTGTTTTTTCGAGGGGCCCTTCTTTTCTTATTTGATTCGAAGAAAACTGCCGCTGAAGCTCATCGAATGCTGTCAGATACTTATGGCGAGCAAGCTCCATCGGAACGAAGCTGCAGAGAATGGTTTCATCGATTCAAAAGTGGTGATTTTGACATGAAAGACAAAGAACGTTCAGGTCGGCCAGAAGCGATTGAAGATGTCGATTTGCAAGCATTATTGGATGAAGACCCAACCCAAACGCAAAAAGAACTTGCATTGCAGTTAAACGTCGGCCAAACAACCATTTTTAGACATTTGCACGCCATGGGAAAGATTCGGAAGCTGGGAAAATGGGTTCCACATCAACTGTCTGAAGAGCAACTTCAAGCACGAATCGCAATATGCACAAAACATCTTGCAGAGCACAAAAGAAACAGTTTTTTGTATCGGATTGTTACCGGCGATGAAAAATGGGTTTATTATGAGAACCTCAAACGTAAGGCAGCGTATGTTGATCCAAGCCAACCGGCGCCATCCCAGCCAAAACGAGATATTCATTGCGATATGGTTATGCTGTGCATCTGGTGGGATATGAAAGGAGTCGTGTATTATGAGCTGCTAAAACCAGATCAAACGATTAATAAGGAACGCTATCGACGCCAATTGAATGATTTGGCTCATGCATTGGATGAAAAACGGGCATTAATAGCTCGAAAACACCACAATGTTTTGTTCCACGATGACAACGCTAAGCCACATCGTGCAACAATCGTTAAAAATGAGGTAGAGCAGCTCGATTGGGATCGGCTTGATCAGCCCGCGTACTCTCCAGACCTTGCTCCTTGCGACTACTATCTATTTCGATCGATGCAGATTGCCCTGTCTGAAGTACGCTTTCAAAATGAGGAAGAAGTGCGAAAATGGGTTGATGACTACACAACCTCAAAAGATGAAGACTTCTTCACACGAGGAATCCACGAGCTGCCAGAAAGATGGCGGGAAGTCATAGCTAACGATGGCGAATACATTGGTTAATGTACATTTTCAATTTATTTTGCAATAAATGTATTTTTAGACAAAAAAAACGGCGGAAACTTTCGAATTGACCCAATAGGAGTAGCTCTACATTTCATGTAGTGCTAAAAACATGTTTTCGCTTGCATTTCGGCTATGTTGAACATACTAACTACTTCTTCTTTTTTTTCTTCGACCGAACGAAGATCCACACAAAGCAGAGGAGAAGTTAGTGCATGGTGTGCGCACACAAATTAGTTTTTATGAGAAGAGCATCGCACAAGAGCGCTGTGGTTCTCACAGAAATGAGTTGTACTATGAACTGAATGTGCGATTCTTAAGCCCTGGTTTATAAAATTTCAACTAAATTCGTTTTTTTTTTGTAAAACTCGAATATTCGTGAAATATATAGCTATATCAACCAAAAATCATCTTCAGCTTTTTCCTCACGTGTTCTTCGTTTTTTATCGTTGCATTGATTTCACATCATTATCATTACTACTACTTATCGGAAGTCGTCTATTGGGAGTTGGCAGCTCATCAAATGCCGTTGCTTGGAGTTGACGAGTATTTTTTGTTTTTCGGGTGTTCAACGCTATATCCATGACTGGGCGAAAAAAATGATTTCCTCATTCAATATATTGACAACACGAAGAAACTATTTCCTATCAACGTTTGTTCATTTTAGATAGATTAACATATATCGAAAACAATTTCGGTGTGTTAATAAAATAACAAACAGGTACTCAGTTGTATGTTGATGTATGTAGTGATACACAACTGAAACTGGCTAAGTTGCTTGAAACCAACTATTTTGTACGGGGATAATTATGTTTAGTCATTCTTTTGGTCAGTTGATTAATTTGGCACATTCTGACTGGAAATCGACTAACTGTGATTTTTGATTAAAATAATCCGTTTATTTGATTCGAGATTATCACTTTTGGTTTGCCACTAGACACTGTCTGGAAATTGAATGTAAAGAGTGAAGTGCAAGTTCAAGGAAATTCCATCGAAACAGGTGGGCCAAAAATCACACTTGTATGCGTTCGATCGTCATGATACTTTCAGGATCTTATTTTTCATTAAAATATAAAACCACAGAAAATTTGAAGCCAATCGTAAATGATTTAAGGGTAGCTCCCATACAAATATGGGAATTTTCAACCGATTATACGGTGAAAATGGTCCGATCCGCATCAAACTTTCAGGGATTTCATTTTTCAGTGAAAAAAAATGAGATTTTGTGAGTTTCATAGTGATTAATATACCAGAAGTGGGTTTTTCGGCTGTATGATTTGGTCGATTTTCTTTGGACCCAAGCTCTAAACTTTGAGGCCGATGCGCCACGATCGTTATCCGATCGCGCTGAAAATTTACAGGGCTCATTTTTTCCACCAACCTCGTAAGAAAATGCATCGTCACGTGTGAATTTCGAAAGAGTGCGAAAAAACCACCCTACTAGACAGTCAAAATGTTCCACATAAATCAGCTGCATAGTCTGTCAAAAAATGACCACATGGGTAACTATACCATAGCTGTTATCACATCGAAAAGCAATTGCGTTCCGAGAAGAGCGTTTACTATGACTCAATGTATGGTATTTTTCAGATGAATGAAATCTTGGAAAATTTGCCGAAATGAGTTCGGGTAGGGCGATGACTCAATGTATGGTATTTTTCTTATAAAAAAGCACTTTTTCCAAAAATTATCGGATGGATTTGTTTTGAACTGGATGAATAAATACCGCCGTAACTTTATTTCTACATTCAATTGCGCACTTAGAAGTTTAAAACTGATGATTCAATTCTACGAATTTGTATCATTCTCCGAAAAAGTATCAGCAAATAATTATTACGCATTATTTGCAGCTTCAAATATAGTGCGAGACAGCATCGTGACGACAAAAAATTCACAACAAACAAATGAGATGAAAAATAAAACTGATTACATTTACGAGTTATTTAATATTTGTTTTTTGCCGTTAAAATGGTCGAGTACACGACGAATAAGAATAAACACTACTAACCGCATTGTACCGAACACAATCCCACTCCAAGTTGTGTATTGACAAAGACTCGGTTTCGAAAAGAAGCGAAAAAAAAATACCCGCGACCATTCACTCTAAAAGAAAAAGCCAACTTGAGAAGAGTGAGTGAAAGCATGCGACCGTTTGTGATGCAAACAAATTTGCGCATGATTGAACTACAACACAACATGCTTAGCATGTGTAAAAGAGATTCGTAATGTTTTCGAGTCACTTACCGAGTATTCAATTTAAAAATAGCACTCATGTTCAACGACGTACAAAAATCAACGACGTTTGTTATTTGAAAGCAGGAAAAAAAATCACATTGATGATGCTGAAGATTTGTGTATTGAATGAATGTTTGTTTATAAATTTAAAGCAGAAAAAAAAAGATTTGGTATTTGTCGAAAACTACCGAAACAATATTTACCGCCTTTTTACTCACATTGAATTAATATTTTTCATTTCATATTCAACGCAGCACTTGGATTTATACAAAAGATGTACGATGAATTTTGGGCTGAAGTGTTGGTTTCGGAGAGAAGAAAAACCAACAAAAAGACATCTTTTCGAGAGAAAAATAGCAACACTTTTGTGGTGTAGCTCAGTGGAAATCAGTCGTGTTTCGTTTTGTGTGAAGACAACATGGTTTTTTAGTTACGTTGAGTACGTTAGATAAATTGAGAGAAAAAGAAAGCGATCGGAAGGTATAAAAATTGAAATTGAAAATTTAATCTATTGAATAAAAACAAAATGATAAGTGACATTTTATCCACCGTTTCGTTGATAACAGTATTTGTTACAATAATTATTGAGTGTTGGAAAGTGTATCTAAATTGCACTAAGCTTAGAGCATTTTATCATATCAAAGGTTGGCCGATAATAGGCAAAGGCTTGGATTTATTTGGGAAAAATAATGAGCAAATTTTCGAAACGTTCGTCACCGAAACCGAAGAAATTTCATATACTTGGGTTGGTCCAATACGTCTCTTTCATGTGGCTCGGCCGGAAGATGTCCAAGCGATTTTAACTTCGGACAAGTGTTTGAAAAAAGCATTTCCGTATGAATTCTTGTACAATCGCACGGGTTTATTAACAGCAGAGCCGAGTACATGGAAATTGCATCGTCGAGCATTGAATCCAACGCTCGGTCCAAAAATGGTGAAAAGTTTTATGCCGATTTTCAACGAAAAATTCCAGAAAATGGCCGATTTAATGGAACGCCAGATTGGTAACAATGTTGATATGCACCAGATCATGTTTAGGGCATCAATTGACACAATTATGTGCGGTTCATTCGGTGTTAATTGGACCATGCAGAATAGACGAGGTGATGAAATCCATGATTTGATTATTTACATCATGCAAGACGTTCAGAAACGCATTCAACGAGTATGGCTTTGGAATCCAATCTATAAATTAACACAAGACTACAAAATGGAAATGTCGAAATTTCACGCGTTTTACCAGTTTGTTCGAACAGCATTGGAAAATAAGAGAATGGATTTAGCCGAAAAACTGGAGCACGGTGAAGACGAGCTCGCTATTGCCAAGCAGAACAACAATCAAAACTATTTACAAAAGTGTTTGCAATTGGAACTCGAACAAAAATGGACTAACGAAAATGTTTGCGAAGAAATGGACACGATTTTCGTGGCAAGTGTGGATACTTCAGCTACAATTTTATGTGGTATTTCGTTGATGTTAGCCATTCATCAAGAGTATCAAGAGCGTGTTGTCGACGAAATGCGTGAGATATTTGATGACGTGAACGAACCAGTGACCAATGATCACCTCTCTCGAATGACTTTTCTGGAACTTGTTATAAAAGAATCGATGAGATATTTTCCAATCGCACCGTTTATCGGGCGTGAATGTACAGCTGATTTCGAGATCAACGGCGGTGTCATTCCCAAAGGCTCACAAATTTTCCTAAATGTACTTCGAATGCATAAAAACCCCAAGTTCTTTGGCGAAAATGCACTTGAATTTTATCCAGAACGATTTTTACCGGAAAATTGCGCCGATTGGCACCCATATTTGTTTATACCATTTAGCGCTGGTGCACGGAATTGTATTGGAACACGTTATGCATGGACATCATTGAAAATCGCTCTGTCACATATTTTTAGACGTTTCAAACTCACCACGCACTTGAAGCTACATGAAGTGATTATCACACCTGAATTACTCCTGAAAATTGGCAATAAAAATGCCATTCGAATAGAGCAGCGAGAGTGGAAATGAAATTGATTTTAGTAGAATAATCGATGCAATTTTCACATTTATCATATTTATTTTATTTACTTGATTTCATTGGCATTTTTTTGTACTTGAGATATACTGGAAACGTTGAAACATTCCGAATCAAAACTTTTTCATTTGCACTGAGATTAGATGATCATATTGTTTGCAACTCCAACATTCTAATGGAAAAACATTGAATAATTTATCTTTTCTGATCTAGACGTAGATTCTAAGAAAACTTTTGTAAATAAAATATTTTCAAATGAAAACACGTCTCTGTTTGCAGTACCAACCTGAGTTCATAAATTCTATAATATAGTTTAAAATCTAATATTTATTGGAGGTGAACACTTAGATAGCTTCACATGTTTTGATCTAAAATATCTTTCTATAAAAAGTGATTGAACTCTGTTGACTTTGAAACCGTCGTTTACCAGCATAATGTAGACACCAATGCCTAATTTAAGCCGCAGTTGTAATTTGAAAAATGCAGTTGTGAATATCAGAAAATGCAGTTAAGATTATTCACTGAAGTATCAATTTTCAGTAGCAGCACAAACATATTTAAACAACATTTATTCAGAATTTCGGCTCGCTTCGCTCGCCATAATTTTTTTCTAACATTTTCACATAAATATAAGCACAATAAAAATGAGTATGGTGAATCAGTGTACAATCGCCGAAAAAAGAGCTGTTAATGATTAGATGATGAAATATACATGAAAATGTCAGGCGATACTTTTCTGGCGATTGTACAATGTACTCTCGTCATATTCATTTTCGTTTTGTTTACATAATTTCACCCTAGATTTCACCCGGCAATATTCTGTCAATTTTTCTATGTAAAACATGGAGTGTGAAATAGTAGAGCGCCACTACTGGAGAACGGCAGAATGCGAAAGAAAAAATTTCAAATTTGTTCGCGCTCAAATTCACTCCGTCATATTCATTCTTGTTTTGATGTCGAAACAGTGAAAAAAATAAAAAAAAAATAAAAAAAATAAATTTGAAATAAAATAAAATACAATTTAAATTGAATCCGCACATATTTTACATGTTTTGTTATTTGTCATATGATTTCGCAATATTTCATAATATTTCGTCACCATTATAGACCAAGAGCTGTTGAACAAAGTACTTACAATACAAGCTTCATGTCAGATAATGGAATTGTAGGTGCACATTAAGGCCAATATTCAAAATATCAATTTGTTTTATCTTCATTTGATACACATCACAATATCTGCACGCCGATAACAAGAATAAAAATCGCTTCACTTTTCGTTCAAGCTTTAAGGCAGATTTTTTGTTTACTGATAAATTCGTACAAGAATAATTCAAACACAAAAAATCTGCTCCAACCATTGTACACAACATTTTTTATTTCGCATCAAAGTCTCATTCAATTCAAAGAAGTGAGGTTATGTTGTAATCATGTCAAAATGGATAAAATGCATTACAAACACTATGATTCTTCCACGATTTTTCATACAAAAAATGCTATAAAGTTTAGTTTGGTCTGTAACTTTTCGAATTTGTTAAGAAATTTGAAATCTATTAAATGGTAATGTGGAAAAAATGTATTTCAATTAAATACGACCATCGGTGGAGTGAATTTTGTCAAACAAATGATAAATTTTCCGATTTTTCGAAAAAATTTGTCATTTTTTGTATGGAAGGTCTTGATTATTTTTCCCGCAGTTTTTGGGCAATTTCATCAATAAATGATATCCATTACCGAAAATAATGAAATTGATAGTCTAGTCCATTTATAAAAACTTCAAATATTCTCATAAACATCATTTCATGAATATTTTTTTGTAAAATAACAGAATTAATGGGAAAAAACTGAAATTTCAATGCCGGTCCTAATTAAATTTCCATGACTGTAAGTGTTGTCATCACTCTGTAGCGGCGCTCTGCAATTGTTCGCCCTTTCGTTATCATCGTGCGCATAATTTGGGTGCGGGCAATTCTGGTAATATGTTTATATTTCAAATGCGGTTAATAATTTTCGATAACTAAGAAACGCTTGTTTATTGTTTGCCACTAAGCGGTTTCTTGATATTCGATGCGATAGATAATAGAAAATTTTCTGCCGCTCAAAAAAATGCAAATATGATTTTTCCTTAAATTAGGCATTGGTAGAAACAAGAATACCAAATATCTTTTCATAAAACCGAACAGATTCACACTTCATTCCCCAACATAGAGTCTTCATTTCTTTTCATGCTCAATTCTCACTTTTACTTTTCCGTGCACAACATGTCAAGGGAAAGTATAGGAATTGGTCCCGAAAACTTTTTTCGCAAAATTAGCTTGGATCATCATAAAAACTCATGAAACGCGTAGAAAACCACTTTTTGAGACACTTTTCCGTTCGTGTGCCGTCATTGTCGTTGTCGTAGCTGTTTATAAACACGATAACTCAAAAAATAATTGAGATAATCCAAATCTGAAAGTCCCAAAAGTTTTGTATCCAATAAACTTAGTTTAAGTTCGAAGATGAGCCATTTTCGATTTGACCCTTGGGTACTTGCCCTAAGAAAAACCTCAAAAAATTGACACTTTTGTATGGGAGGTACCTTTAAATCGACTCCGATTGGCTTCAAACTTTCTGGGATTTCATTTTTTGAGAGAAAAACCTACCATACAAAATTTTTGAAATTTTGACTAAAATTACCGATTTTTGGACAATTTTGTATGGGAGGTACCCGTTAATCGATTCTGAATGGCTTCAAACTTTCCGAGGTTTCATTTTTTGGAGAAAAAATAAGATTCTGAAAGTTTCGTGTTGATCGCATGCGCAGAAGTTTGGTTTTTGGCCCTCAATTTTTTCCAAGAAAATTTCGACAAAAATTGAGGACAAAAAATCAAACTTCTGCAAATGCGATCAACATGAAACTTTCAGAATCTCATTTTTTCTCCAAAAAATGAAACCTCAGAAAGTTTGAAGCCAATAGGAATCGGTTTACGGGTACCTCTCATACAAAATTGTCGAAGTTTTAGTTAAAGTGACCGATTTTTCACTTTATTTTTATTATTATATTTTCACTGCCTTTATTTCAAGAAAATTCACAAAAAATAACCAAAAGTACCTACATACAACGCAGACCAATGGTACGGAAAAGTTCGGGATTACCAATGTAATTCTTTTTATTTTTTATATGATCGTGACAGCAGTACCAAACATGAGAATGGTAAGTACAATGGAACGATCTTTAAGCGACTTGAGGTCATTGTCTCCACACTTTCACAGATTTATCTTTAAGTACAAATTGAATACATGCGAATTAAACAATCATTAAAAAATCTGAGGTAGGTTTGATGTGTGTTGTGCATAGCAAAATGCACACATACTGTTCATTTCACACATGCTTCGGTCATTTTGCTTTTTTCGCTGCTTCATACTACGTAGTTCGTACTCAGTATTCATTGAATAGTGAATACTATTCAGTAGAATCAGTAAATTTTAGTTTTGGGTCAGATTTTTAATATGATCAAATATCAATGGGCTTCATTTCCAATATTTTCACACGAGTTACAATTTTTGTTCTGTAAATGTAATTTAACCATTTCTGAAATGAAGAGAACACGAGAACATTGTTTTGAATGGAAAGAAAAAATACAAAATATATCTCGTTAAAAATACAATAACAAAAATTAACACATAAAACAGGATTCTATTTAAAATCTACTTCAATGCAAGCTCTATCGGAATTCTTTTTAAAATTTAATTAGCTATCTGCGGGCGCTCAATTTGCCTTTGGGCGTTATGAAATGTTAACCCTCTAATGCATACAACCGCCTCTAGACGGGCAACATTTGAACGCCTGTAGAACGTAAACCGTACATCGGATCAAATTGCTTCAAAGTAAATTTTTATTCGTCAATGATTTCTATTTATTTTTGTCTTTGGCAATATTTGTCTATGTAGTGTGATTGTAAAGTTATAAGCAAGAATGTGTGCAAAAACAAAAATTTGACAAAAAAAATTATTCGAACTCGAAATTAGACACATTTTTGACACTTTTAAACAATGGATTTGATTGTTCTCTGATTTATGTCAATCGCATTTCCTGACTGAACCAAAAGGAATCAAGGATTATGAATATTTTTTTAATTATTTATGGCCAAAAATTAACCAAGTACCAGTACTCCCAGCCCTGGGAAAAATTAATGCATTAGAGGATTAATGAACACTCTGACTCATGCAGAGCTACAAGTTGTACGGTTTCTCGTTTGCTGTGAAGAATAGAACTTCGGCTCAAACTGAGTGAGTCACTCATTCTGAGTGACAATGTTTAACAACATCAAATGTTCACCAATGTTTTTAAGCACGTGAATTTGCCTGGAGTAAATTAGTGGTACTGTAGTCGAACAGACTATTTTCAACACTCAAACAGATTCCAGACAGGGGGGATTTGCTTCAAATCATAAATAAATCGCTAGTTTCATTGCTGTTTGAATCAAAATTGCAAACTCAGGGCAAAAATGATGATAGAATAAATGAAGATTCTTCATCGAAGACAATAAATGGTCATATTAACGATAAATCGAGAAAAAAAAAACAGACTGTCTCTCAATCGAATGGATTGATAATAAATATTTTGATTCTTGCTCAAGGGAATGCCATCACTGTTTTACCCACCTAATTTAACTGGGCTTAGAAATCTGATCAAAGAGAGAGTGAATGAATTCACTGAAAAAAGATAGTGGATATTTTGTTCGTCTGATTGTCTACATTTGGACAGTTTGCGAGTTCATTTTGTTCACATTTGTTTCCATTGTCTCCCGTTGCATTAATTACAAATTAAATTTGTTTTCTTCGTAACTGCAGTTCAGTTCTATCTCTACATTTCTCTCTTTCTTAAATTGTCTCTTCTTCAATAAAGGAGTCTTCGGTTGAGAATTCTTTCAATAAAATATGGAAGAGATGATTTTTTTTTGGTAGAACCATCGATTTGAAAAAGATCTTTAACTTCTTGGACGACACTTTTAAGAAATTCCCAGTCATTCAGGAGTTGAAACCAGTGTACATTTTTTCAGACTTTGAAGCGTTGGAAAAATCCCCTTCCACAAAAACGAGTATTCGAAAAATTCAATTTTTGAGCTTTAGATGGATGAACTGGATTTGAAAACACTCGAATGATACCAAGATATATACTCGGCGAGTGAAATTCTCAGAATGAACAAAATATTTCGTTTAAGAAAACCGAATTCGGTTAAGTTAACTCATTTTTCACTAGATGGCATTTCCATGATTGGATTGAGTATTGGATAAAACAGTGTAGGTAAGTACTTGGGTTGAGATATTTTGTCTCTTTCAAATATAATCATTCATTTGTTTTTACAGAAAATCAATTAAAAAACAATGGAAAAAATAACTCGTTTTGTGACGGTAACTGAGTTGTTTAAACAACTTTCAAACAAACATTCGAATTGTTTTTTTTGTACTGAACAAATATCCAACGATAAAATGTAATTTTCATTTTTTTAGTCTGTTTTTCATCGTATGATAATTAAGGCAGGAATGAAAATAAAATTTAAAACGGCACGTTTTGTCAAGAAGAAGTTTTTTCTCCGAAAAATTGAGAACAAATCCTTACGCAAAACACAAACAAATTCAATGTCAATAGCAAAAAATTAAATTATTAATGCAAAGTCCACATTAAGTGTCTTAATCAATAAAGCGTAGTGCAAATAAATTGCTTCAAAGAATATTTCGATGTTCAAATATAACTCTATTTATTTGTGTTTGTTTAACATTTAATTTGCTATCTGCGGGCGATCAAGTAGCCTCAGAGCGATATGTTATGTAAATACAATCTCCGTGTGCATCAGGACGATACGTTTCACGGCGTTTCGTTCGCTCGCTCGATGTTCTGTAAATAAAACTTCAATTCAAGCCGAGCAAATCACTCATTCTGAGTGAGAATATGGAGCGAATGCATTTGTAAGTGCATCTTTCGTTCACCAACATTTGGTTAAGCGCGTGAATTTGTCTCAAATAAACGAGTGCAAGTCTGTGGATGGAGTGAAAAAGACTCGGCTCCGAGTGCTGAATAAGCACATGATTGCACAGTTTGTGCGTTGAATGAATGAATTCGTTGTTGTCTCTTTGGTGTTGTTTTTACAGTTGACTGTGTTCACTATTACATCGGTTTCGATATATACGCACGTTTCATACTGTGTGAGTACATCCATAGTAAATGTTGAGCGGTAAAGTGCGACTACGGCGTCGACGACGACGTCGGTGGCGATGAGAATAAAAAAAAAACAATTGTGGAGCTGAAATTCCATACACAAACGCAATGCAAGAGAACTATGTGTCGTCAGTCGTATTCGCGATTTCAACTAGAACGGTTGTGCTACCGAGCGCGTGTGTGTTTGGATTCAACACGAATTTTTCGTTACAAATTTGTTCAAATAGCGAGCAGAGCAGAGCAGCATTGAACGGGCAACAGCCTGATCGAAATATATAGGGCAAAAGTAAGAAAAGATACCCGTTGCTTTTTTCTCTCTCTCTCACTCTCTCTCTCTCTCTCTCTCTCTCTCTGTCTCTCTCGTTCGTTCGAACTATAAATCAATTTATTAGTTTTCTGTGTGAAATGTGCGTTGCATCACTTGAATTTATGCGAATTTCGGGTGGAATAACGAAAGTGAGAGCTCTGCAAAAAAAAAAAAACATACGAAGAAGATAAAAGACTTCATTGGACCGAGAGAAGAAAAAAAACCGAATGAAACAAAATAAATCAATTCAGATGAAAATCCAAATAATTTCAAGGCATTTGAAAATAACCAATTGGAATGAGCACAAATTCACGAAATAATTCACAATCAATTCAATTCATGTGACAGAAGTTGTTCTTTTTGTTGTTGTTAATCCATGAAATAATTCGCATTTTGTGCTCAAAATGAAAGAAAGACATATCCGTTGAAACAGATAAAAAGAAATTAACCATTTTATGATTTTGATCAGTTTGAGTGTTGAATATGCATTTTCAGTTATGTGAAAACTCTTTAGAGTTTTCTTTCTCTATACTCCTCGCTATCTCTTCCTTCCTCTTTCTCTCCTTCTCTCTCTCTCTTTCTGTCTCTTTCTCTTCCCCCCCCCCTTTTTCTCTCTCTCTCTCTCTCTCTCTCTCTTTAATGTCAGTGACGAAATGTTGAATGAACCAAAAACCTCGAGCGCTACACTAAAAATGTACTGAAGAGATAACCATTTGAATGACAAATGGTACGTGCAAGAAAGCTAGCAATTTTCTTTGCGTTTTTTCGGTTGTTGCAATGTTCATTTTACGATTTCGAATTCGATTTGCATCAGATGAATAGAAAAATAGCGTGGATTCATAGCGGTTGGGGTGTTTTTCTCTTCTCTCTCCTGTTTCTTCGCTGATTTTCGCATGAGATTGTTTGTTTGCGTTTTTATGATGCCATTGGTGCATCGGTGGCTGCTCTGTCGCATTTGGCTGCTGTTGCTGTTGATGATGATGTTACAAACAGAGAGTGAAAATGGTTTGCGTAAATACGAGAAAAAAAAACTGAAATTCAGCAACGGCCAAAAAGGGAAAAGGGGCAGAAAATGAAATGAAAAGGCGAAAAAAAAATCCGAATAAGCGCGAAAAAAACCAGCAAAAAGACGACACACACGAGAGAAGAAACAAAAAAAACACACAACAACGCACAAAATCGAAGTCGCGCGTACGTAAAAAGTAAATATTTTGTGTTCGAAAAAAGTTCGAAAATGTTGACAAAACATGAGATTGTAGCAAGGATTTTTCGTTTGACGTCGTCGATGATTCGCATAAAAAGTTTTTTTTTCTATGTGTGTGTGCGAACGAGCACATAAAAGCACTAATTCTTGTATGGTGTGGCCCCGTTTCTTCGTCTCTGTCTCTTCGTTGTATTCTAGCTTTTTTGCTGGCTTGCTCGGTTTAGCAACCATTGTGCGTGTTATTTTATGTATTTTTCTTGTTGTGTTGCACTTTTTTTACTTCTCTCCATTCGTCCGTCCGTTCGTTTGTTCTCAAAGCATTTGGCCTGGTGTGTGGTGTGTGCTTAGTTTTTGCTTAACTTGCACATTGCATCAAGCCACTAACTGCTACCCACACTGATACACACTGTGCTCTCTGCTGTCGCGGTCGCTTAGCTGCTACTGCTACTACTGCTGCACTCTCATTCTACACGCTTGTCATGTTCTCGACTGCTGTTGCACACACAAGTCACTCTGTTTTTTTCACATCGTTCTCCCAATCGTCGCACTGTCTTTGCATCTTTGCAAAGAGCACGAGAACGAGACTTGAGATGAAATTTTCAGTGTTGCTATTTTCATTTTGATCGAACACAAATGCACACGTCCAATAGATTCAAATAAGGGAACAAAAAAACCCGAGAGACAAACGCACGCATTCATATTGTCGGAATAACTTTTTTTTCAATCGTTCTTATTCTTTCAATGCAATTCTGCTCTCTTTCCGAGCCCATAATAGAATATTACTGCTTGTGCGTGAGCTAATTGAGGCTACTGCTCATTTCATTAGATATGGTTTTTGTCGCTGTTTGCGCCCAACTAATTCCCGTCTGGAATTTTGCCACGGAACATTACCGTTTTTACTGATTGAGCCACACTTTTGGGCTTTTTTCGGATGTTTTTTCCGTGAATTCAGACGATGTTTGGTCATTTTCTTCAATTTTCTCATGAATTTAAATTCATTTTCTGCTGGAGTCAAGACCATTCGGAGCAGTTTTTTGACATCCTAATTCGAATCTTTTCAGCTTAAAAAAAAAAATGTTTACAACGAGTAAAAACTTCGAAAAAGAATTTAAAATCTGTTCGTCTATTGAGTTTCTTCTAGCCCATTACCAAGCTTTTGATTTTTTTTATGCAAAATTTTCGAACACTCGGTAATTAATGGGTTAAAGTGTGCAAAACCGCTATCAATTTCAAGTATTCAACACCGAAATAGATTCCAGACGGATGGTGTTGATTCTAACTATAAATATTCTCGTAACGCTCATAGCGTTGCACTATTGAAAATTGGAACGCTAAAATTTGTCAGCATCTTTTATTGAATTCTAATGCGTTGTCTTGTTTCTGTTTTTCATTCACCCAAACTGTGTGTATTGTAAGGTTACGGCATGCAATTTATGAATTGCGAACAGAGAGAGAGAGAGAGAAAAAAAGCAACAACCAACATTGATCGCGATAACAAAAATCAAACAGAAAAAAATTCAAAAGTGAAAACACAAACAATTCAGCAAGCGAACGATTCAAACTGTAGAGTTGAGATGAGATAAGTTTTGGCCTGAACCAGAGGGGCAGGCAAGAGAATGGGAACATAAACAAATTTTCAAGTGCTGAGACACTATTTAAATAAGAAACTACTTTAAATAGACTTTACCCGAAACGAAAATTACTTTGAAAACAAAAAAGTTTCGATTCGATTCGCTGCTCTCACAGTGGTGCAAGTATATTGGTTTATACAATCGTTTGCAAGCTCTGCGTCTGATAATTGCTTTAAATTGGACGTTTTTTTTTAATTTCTCTTTCTTTCTTTCTCTGTGTGTGTGGATCAGGGGAATATACAGTGAACCGAATGAAAAGTGAACATTAAATACCAAGAAGCATTTTATCAATTAATGCTACCGCTGAAGAAATTAAAAAAAAAGAAGTTAAACTGCCATTTTAAAAGCAACGACACCAACAACAACAACAACAACGCATCGTTGATAGACTTTAATAAACTGTAGTTTTCTTGCGGAAAAATTCGATTTTGTGTAAGTATTTCATTCTCTTTTTTTATTCTTATTTCATTCCTAAGCGCATTTCATTTTGCACACAATTTTCGTCTGTAGCTACAAAGTGTTTTTCTGTAGCTGCTTCTGTAGCATGGCGAATAAATCTCACTCGCCAGACGAATTTGTCTTGAGAAATGAAATAGAATAAGCATTTGGACATAGAATCGCATCCCGAAACACACATGGGGAAAACGCAATATCTTCATCAAAAGTCAAGAAGCTTGTGAAAATCACGAACGAAAAAAAAGAACCTAGCTCTAGACAACGAGATACAACTTATGCTCTTTTTCGGCCATAGAAATGCAATCGCTCAAAGTCGGACTGAATGTGTTTTATAGGTTCGGTCAGCATAGTTGGGTCAAAATAATAAAAACATCAACGTCATACATACATAGCCAGAAGAACGTCATTAATAAATAAATTTTCAAATGGTGTTTGTCTGGTCCCAAGTGCGCTATCGAACATTGGACACATAAGGCGGATGCTAAAGTCGTTTTTTTTTCAACACTTTCACTTCATGACATAAATGCGATTTTCTGAAATTTGTGTATGTGCACTTTTGATATACGGTTCCTCCTCCGAAAATCCGGTTTCACACTCTC